ACCCAGATTCTGTATACCAAGATGGTCTCTCCTATCTTTGAACAAATTTAAAAAGTGTAATCAAATCCGGTGGCGCCCGCGTTGCGAACAGAGTTATCCTTCTTGTGTGGAAAAACAATCAAAGTGAAACTAACAAGTTTTTGTATAATTTATAAAATTAAAATTTCGGAATAACGCCTTTTTAAAAATGGTTACGCTGACAAAATATTCCTCTTCAGGTGGAAGGGGCGACTGTTTTCTTCGTTTAATTTGGCTTTAGAGCGAGAGGCGAGAGGTCATTAAAATAAAATAAACCCAAAAACGCTTCACTAAGCGAATCGAAACAGCTGATGCGCAAGGGGGTGATACGATGTATCCCTATTCTTCTTCTGGAGAAACGAAAGACAGCTTCAAAACAAAGATTGTAGCGTCATGCGGACGCTTTTTTTTGGCCGAGTGAACTTTCTTGTCATGTACAATCTTTGACCATAATTATTACTCAATAATTACCATTATTCGATATCTCCTTCTTTCATTATTCGATATCCCATTAGAATCATTACTGGATATTTCTATTACACTGTAAAGTTTCTCCTAGCTTTATGATTATTCGATTCCCCTTAAACCTAGTCATTATTATAGACCACTTTCTGGATAATGTAATCTTGCTATGCTCTAAATGAGAGGCAGTGTGGTGAAATCAGGCACTCGCCAGAATAATGAAAGTGAAGAAACTGGCATTTTCTTACAGGTTTTATAATTTTTATCGAGTGTTTGTTTTTTGGCTCAGCACCTTTCCCACCCATTAAAGAACACATTTCAGTTTGGATTTGACAGAAAAACGTTGTTTAAAGGCATAAAAGAAGTAGGTTATATTTTCAGTTTCCACGGACTCTCAAGCTAAGAGAATAAAGCAACTTTGGCGGCCATTTTCTCGCTAATTTTACCTCTGAAACCAGGTGGCTCCCACGTCCTTCAATGGCCAATATCTTGACTTATACCAACGATAAAGGGATCAAAAGCAAAGCAATAGGATATGTGTTAAGATGATACCAATAACTCCATATGCCCCAAAATAGACGAGCGCCTGATTCCACCACAATGCCGCACAAATACCTCACCAGCACCACCAGCTCAGAATTTTCAGTCAATATTCGATACTTCCCTCAACCAATCAATATTTGATACTTCCATTAACCTATGAATGTTCGATACTCCCCTTAACCAATCAATATTCGATACTCCCCTTAACCAATCAATTCGATATTTCCCTTAACCAATCAATATTAATTTTTGATACTTCCCTTAACGGATCAATATTTGATGTGTTTATTGTCCTGTCATATTTTTTCAATACTTTTTAGCGTTGCATTATTTAATAGTGATAGCTTTCTTCAGGTCTCAGGTCAGATCATCATTTTCATGACATCTAATTAAATTCGTCGTATTATTTTATTATGTTAACCGCAATTCCTTGTCATAAATTGAATGAGGTAAAGTGGAGTGGACCGAGATCATTTTATCTTTCGTACACTTCTATGAAATAACGCCATTTTGTTTATATAGTCAATGTGCAGACATTCAAATTATATTATGGTTTTGCTTAGACTAAATTCACATATTTGTTGTTTCAAAATTATTTTTTTTCTTAAGGCACACAAAGAATCGCAACATTTCCCCTATTTCGAAAAAAAACCTCCTTGCTTGTTTTGTTTTTTCATTATTTATAGCGACTTTTCTGTTGTTCTGTTCATTGTTGTATAGTTGCACCTTTTTAGGTCATTGTCTCCCTTCCCCAAGCATTTATTAAGGGTTGCTGTTGATAAAATACTTCATTGAATCAACTTCATGAATGAGGAGTCCTCTGGTATTGTGACTGGGTGTTCTACCTTCAAAATCAACTATGCTTGGTCCCATAAGTCATCCCACATTTCCTTTGAGATGCGATACGGTATTGTGAAAAAACGTTTAGGCCTAACGATCGGTTAATCTGACTCGTAAAGCAAGGGCTGGAGATGAAGGGAAATAACCGAGGAAAAGGCTCGACCACCACAAGTACTAAAACAAGAACGCCCATACCTCCAGCTCAACATGGTGGGTGGTGTTTTGTTCTTTTTGTTTTTGCTTTTGTTTGTTTTGGGTTTGTTTGTTTTTTGCTCTTTTTTTGCTGCCGTTTATTTGTTTTTTGTTTGTTTTTTGTGTGTATTGCTTTTTTCTGCGTTTTAAAATTTGTTGTTGTTGCTTTTTTTTGGCAAGCGTTAACGGAGAATAAGCAGGAGAGACGGAGAGTTCACACGTAATAATAAATGGGATACTTGGATAAAGGCTCCAGGTTCCATTATTAATCTTTGTAAAGTATTCACCCAAAAGCCATTTCCTCAGTCATTTCCTTTCATCTCTAGCCCTTGCTCCACGAGTCTCATTAAGCGATCGTTTGGCCTTAAGTTTTTTTTTATAACACTTCCTCTCCTCACAAGTAAAATGTTTAAGATTTAAAAGAAACAAAACACAGTTGATTTTGAAGGTAGAACACTCAGTCACAATACAACAGGAGTAATCTTTTATGAAATAAGTAACGGCAACCCGAAATAACTGCTTGAGTAAGGGAAACAATTAACGTTAAAAGTCTTGTTAAACAACAGTAAACAGGAAAAACAGAAAAGCCACTTTAATAAGTGAAAAACAAATCTGGCAAAACTTTTCAATGTCTAAATAGTAGGAAATGTTTCCAACCTTAGTAAGCCCATAGAAAGCACGTTTGTCAAAATGAACAAAATGACTGATAGAAAATATTCTAAGCAAAACCATAATATAATATGATTGTTAGTACACCGACTATATCAACGAATCGAGAAACATGTTCAATGTATAAGACATGAAAGGTGGTCCCTTGTCACTTCACATCACGTCTTGTGCACGCCACTATGGCGGCATTCTGCTAGTTCATTAAACTGGGTGAATATAAAAAAATTTCAAAGAACAAAAAAATCAATCTCCACCACCGAATAACTGGACTTGAATAATGATCAAATAGTAAATATGCATGTCGTTGGTATCGAATCTTTGATCTTAAACGGTGATAACTATAACCATACAATGTTAATAATATTGATAGTTTCAAATTGGCATCGATAATAAAGTTAAAGAGGTATCGAGGTCTAAAAAAACGAAGACCTGATAAAGGGAAATCGAAAATTGACAATATTGATATCGAATACTGGAAAGTTTGATTAATTATCGAATAATAACTTACAATCCCAGGGAGGTATCGAATACGAATGGACGGAACCCTAACCCCTAACCCCTAACCCCTAACCCCTAACCCCTAACCGGTCCATGCAGATTTATACTTGTTATTCTATAACCGGTATGTGGTATGTAAGAAAAATCTAGTCGTATTTGGTCCCAACACTTAAAACTTTATCTTTTTTATCAGAAATTTGCGCGTTTTGACATTAATCAGTTTGCTGAACAACATGGCTGAACAAACGATGGGCAAAAACACCAGTCTTGCTAAAATAATAATCTAGTGACTGCGCAACCTTTTCCTTGTTTGCCCTTCATTTGGTTCGTAATTATAAGAGTCAAATTTGGGGCCAATATGACCTTAGGCAGTATCGAGCGCCGTAAAACTTCTATTAAAACAAAAAAGAGTCAAATTGCGCACTTCACGATGAATCGGAAGTACGTCACAGTAGACAGTCTCGGCTATTATGATACAAGTCTATGGTGCGGTCTTCTACGGGGTGCCCAATACGGCTGGATCGAGCCAATCGCCCGACTCGGTCGCCTGAAACTGAGAGCAAACACGTTTGTTTTTGAGGCGACCGAGTCGGCGGACCCCATCCGTCCTGGGCACTCCGTATTACAAGTAGATTACTTTAAGTCACGACTTCACTTGATCCCCGTGAGGACGCTTGGCTTGTACAGGTAAGTACAGGGCATGAAGTGAGATCAAATTATTATAATAAAAAGTATCACTTCAGAAGAGACACGATCGTAAAAAAAAAGAAAAAAGATGTACATTCTAAAAATTGTATTTTTCACAGCGCCTATTCCCGTGTGCACACAGGTTAAGGCGCAGTACATCAATCAAAGTGCACAACAAAAACTGTGAACAAACATAAACATTTCTGCTGCCAGGGGGTGGATTTTGTCTACCTAGATCTATGGGCATTTTTAGCAATTCTTTGTTGGACATCCGGTTTTCCCAAGTTCATGACGTACTATGGGGACGTTCAAATATAATCTTACCCCTTTTTTGGGGACTTTCTTCGCTTCACCCTGTTGTTTTGAACATTTCACTTTCAGAAATTATCAAGGATCTTCTAAAGAGGGACCCTGAGTAGTTTGAGAATGTTTTTTTTATACCGTTGCTAGAGATTTCTACAGCTGTAGATCTACACATAAAGGGGGGGGGGGGATTAATGAACATAGGATTGGAAGATGGCGGGTTGCACATTTAGTGCTGTGATGCATGCAGAAGGAATGAATTCTTGCGACAAGATTATAATGGACAAGTGCGACAGGGAGCTGGGTGGAAGAGGAATGGAAGAAGAAAATGGTAAGAATTATCATGGTGGGGAGGGGGGTGGGGGACTTCCTTCTCGAAAGAAAAAGATTGGCTAGCACAACTGGAGATAAAATGAGACCAAAAGACTGGGATAAAAAAGGCTAGAGTATCTCAGCAAAAACAAAAAGATGCTCTTGTCAGAATAATAGATATCATTGTGACGAATTCAGTGATGAGGAAAGAGACAGATGTTAACAAAGCATGGAGACTCACATCTGTACAGAGGGCTGACATTTGAAATTCATTGAAAAAAGATGATGTGAGCGAGGGAAGTACTTTCTGGGACTGAAACAAGAGACCAAAGGTCTAGAAAATAAAGCGCATTCAGGCATTTTCAACAACGTAGCTGGCAGTTTACGGAGAAGAGTTTGGTGACATAAAAAATAAATATATCAACTATCGGACTTTGGAACATGATGTGTTAGGAACTGGATGATGAACGAGCAGTCAAACATGAATGCACGTGAGGTCGATGTATCCCCTGTGTTGAGGGGTTCTTCAACCAACAGGTTATTACGACTATCATCACATTACTTTATAGCTCAACTATTTTAGGAAAATTCGATACCCTTTGTAATATATTTTCTATACCATAACAAAGATTCTGTATAACATGATGGTTCTCTCCTATCTTTGAACCAATTATAAAAGTGTCCTCAAAATCTGGTACCGCCATCTTCGAAAAAGCGCCCGCTTTGCGAACAGGGTTATCCTTCTTGTGTGGAAAAAAAAATCAAAGTGATACTAACAAGTTTTGGTATACATTATAATTAAAATTTGGGAAAAACGTCTTTTTAAATGGCTACGCTGACAAAATTCCTCTTCATGTGGAAGGGACGACTGTTTTCTTCGTTTAATTTGGCTTTAAAGCGAGTTTGACTTCTCAAAGCAGTGCATCTGTGTGCGGGAGTTCGTCTCCGAATAGTTCCTGGGTGCTCACCAGAGACGTCGCCGAATATCTTCCTCCGTAGTGTGGGTGACCCTGACGTGAAAACTCAACATTCTTCCACGTGGTGAAACATTGTCAAACCAAAACAGCTGTGTCCTTGCAGTCTAGAGAATTGAATTATAATATCGAGCGAGAGGCGCGAGGTCATTAAATAAAATAAACCCAAAACTGCACACTAAGCGAACCGGGACAGCGGATGCGCAAGGAGGTGCTATTCCCATTCTTCTTCTGGAGAAACGAAAGACAGCTTCAAAACAAAGATTGCAGCGACATCTAAACAAATGCACGGACTTCCTCGCAAACTTTTTTTTGGTCGAGTGAACTATCTTGTCATGTACAATATAATCATTACTCTTTGATTACCAAAATTTGGTATCTCTTTTTGTCATTATCAGATACCTCATTAGAATCATTATTGGATATTTCTGTGGCACAGCAAATATTTGATAGCTCCCTTGTCTAATCAGTATTCGATATTCTAAAACTTCATTACAATTCGAGTTTCCCCTAGCTCTGTGGTTATTCGATTCCGCTTAAATTTAGTCATTTTTATTTATAGACCACTTTCTGGATAATGTAATCTTACTATGCTCTAAATGAGAGGCAGTGTGGTGAAATCGGGCACTCGTCAGAATAATGAAAGTGAAGAAACTGGCATTTTCTTACAGATTTTAGAATTTTTATCGAGTGTTTGTTTTTTGGCTCAGCACCTTTCACACCCATTAAAGAACACATTTCAGTTTGGATTTGACAGAAAAACGTTGTTTAAAGGTATAAAAGAAGTAGGTTATATTTTCAGTTTCCACGGACTCTCAAGCTACGAGAATAAAGCAACTTTGGCGGCCATTTTCTCGCTAATTTTACCTCTGAAACCAGGTGGCTACCACGTCCTTCAATGGCCAATATCTTGACTTATACCAACGATAAAGGGATCAAAAGCAAAGCAATAGGATAGGTGTTAAGATGATACCAATAACTCCATATGCTCCAAAATAGACGAGCGCCTGATTCCACCACAATGCGCACAAATACCTCACCAGCACCACCAGCTCAGAATTTTCAGTCAATATTCGATACTTCCCTTAACCAATCAATATTCGATACTTCCATTAACCTATAAATGTTCGATACTCCCCTTAACCAATCAATATTCGATACTCCCCTTAACCAATCATTATTCGATATTTCCCTTAACCAATCAATATTAATTTTTGATACTTCCCTTAACGGATCAATATTTGATGTGTTTATTGTCCTGTCATATTTTTTCAATACTTTTTAGCGTGACATTATTTAATAGTGATAGCTTTCTTCAGGTCTCAGGTCAGATCATCATTTTCATGACATCTAATTAAATTCGTCGTATTATTTTATTATGTTAACCGCAATTCCTTGTCATAAATTGAATGAGGTAAAATGAAGTGGACCGAGATCATTTTATCTTTCGTACACTTCTATGAAATAACGCCATTTTGTTTATATAGTCAATGTGCAGACATTCAAATTATACTATGGTTTTGCTTAGACTAAATTCACATATTTGTTGTTTCAAAATTATTTTTTTTCCCTAAGGCACACAAAGAATCGCAACATTTCCCCTATTTCGAAAAAAAACCCTCCTTGCTTGTTTTGTTTTTTCATTATTTATAGCGACTTTTCTGTTGTTCTGTTCATTGTTGTATAGTTGCACCTTTTTAGGTCATTGTCTCCCTTCCCCAAGCATTAATTTATTAAGGGTTGCTGTTGATAAATACTTAATTGAATCTACTTCATGAAAGAGGAGTCCTCTGGTATTGTGACTGGGTGTTCTACCTTCAAAATCAACTACGCTTGATCCCGTAAGTCATCCCACATTTCAGTTGAGGCGATACGTTATTGTGGAAAAACGTGTAGGTCTAACGATCAGTTAATCTGACTCGTGAAGCAAGGGCTGGAGACGAAGGGAAATAACCGAGGAAAAGGCTCGACCACCACAAGTACTAAAACAAGAACGCCCATACCTCCAGCTCAACATGGTGGGTGGTGTTTTGTTCTTTTTGTTTTTGCTTTTGTTTGTTTCGGGTTTGTTTGTTTTTTGCTCTTTTTTTGCTGTCGTTTATTTGTTTTTTGTTTGTTTCTTGTGTGTATTGCTTTTTTCTGCGTTTTAAAATTTGTTGTTGTTGCTTTTTTTGGCAAGCGTTAACGGAGAATAAGCAGGAGAGACGGAGAGTTCACACGTAATAATTAATGGGATACTTGGATAGGGGTTCCAGGTTCCATTATTAATCTTTGTAAAGTATTCACTCAAAAGCCATTTTCTCAGTCAATTTCTTTCATCTCTAGCCCTTGCTCCACGAGTCTCATTAACCGATCGTTTGGCCTTAAGTTTTTTTTATAACACTTCCTCTCCTCACAAGTAAAATGTTTAAGATTTAAAAGAAACAAAACACAGTTGATTTTGAAGGTAGAACACTCAGTCACAATACTACAGGAGTCATTTTTTATGAAGTAAGTAACGGCAACCCGAAATAACTGCTTGAGTAAGGGAAACAATTAACGTTAAAAGTCTTGTTAAACAACAGTAAACAGGGAAAACAGAAAAGCCACTTTAATAAGTGAAAAACAAATCTGGCAAAACTTTTCAATGTCTAAATAGTAGGAAATGTTTCCAACCTTAGTAAGCCAATAGAAAGCACTTTTGTCAAAATGAACAAAATGACTGATAGAAAATATTCTAAGCAAAACCATAATATAATATGATTGTTAGTACACCGACTATATCAACGAATCGAGAAACATGTATAACGTATAAGACATGATAGGTGGTCCCTTGTCCCTTCACTTCACCTCATGTGCACGCCACTATGGCGGCATTCTGCTAGTTCATTAAACTGGGTGAATATAAAAAAATGTCAAAGAGGAAAAAAATCAATCTCCACCACCACCCCCCTTTCGCCATCCAATAGTCGAATAACTAGACTTGAATAATTATCAAATAGTAAATATGCATGTCGTTGGTATCGAATCTTTGATCTTAAACGGTGATAACTATAACCATACAATGTTAATAATATTGATAGTTTCAAATTGGCATCGATTAAAGTTAAAGAGGTATCGAGGTCAAACAAACAAAGACCTGATAAAGGGGAGTCGAATATTGACAATATTGATATCGAATACTGGAAAGTTTGATTAATTATCGAATAATAACTTACAATCCCAGGGAGGTATCGAATAAGAATGGAAGGTACCCTAACCCCTAACCCCTAACCCGTAACCCGTAACCCGTCCATGCAGATTTATACTTGTTATTCTATAACCGGTATGTGGTATGTAAGAAAAATCTAGTCGTATTTGGTCCCAACACTTAAAACTTTATCTTTTTTATCAGAAATTTGCGCGTTTTGACATTAATCAGTTTGCTGAACAACATGGCTGAACAAACGATGGGCAAAAACACCAGTCTTGCTAAAATAATAATCTAGTGACTGCGCAACCTTTTCCTTGTTTGCCCTTCATTTGGTTCGTAATTATAAGAGTCAAATTTGGGGCCAATATGACCTTAGGCAGTATCGAGCGCCGTAAAACTTCTATTAAAACAAAAAAGAGTCAAATTGCGCACTTCACGATGAATCGGAAGTACGTCACAGTAGACAGTCTCGGCTATTATGATACAAGTCTATGGTGCGGTCTTCTACGGGGTGCCCAATACGGCTGGATCGAGCCAATCGCCCGACTCGGTCGCCTGAAACTGAGAGCAAACACGTTTGTTTTTGAGGCGACCGAGTCGGCGGACCCCATCCGTCCTGGGCACTCCGTATTACAAGTAGATTACTTTAAGTCACGACTTCACTTGATCCCCGTGAGGACGCTTGGCTTGTACAGGTAAGTACAGGGCATGAAGTGAGATCAAATTATTATAATAAAAAGTATCACTTCAGAAGAGACACGATCGTAAAAAAAAAGAAAAAAGATGTACATTCTAAAAATTGTATTTTTCACAGCGCCTATTCCCGTGTGCACACAGGTTAAGGCGCAGTACATCAATCAAAGTGCACAACAA